CCATTTCCGACTAAATTAGGGTAGCAAGACATAATTAGATCCCTTAATCTAGAATCCAAAGTCTCCAAGTTTAGAGCAGTCAGCAAGACTGCTTTGATGACAGATGACACTCTTCTACTCTCACTCTGCAATGCTGGAGAGGGTGCTTGGGGTGACTGTGTCAAAAACCCAATGATCCCCACTGTTATATAATGTAAAGGGCTTCAACAGGGCCCTCTGCCCTATGTGCTGGAAAGCCCCCAAGAGCATTCAGGAATCCATTGGATTCCATTAGTCTCTGAAAGTAAACCATCTGGATTGATGGTGGTGCTTGGCCACTTAGATTTTTCTTACAGCTATGACATTTTTTTTTAATATTAAGTGGTTTATAAATGCTTTTATGAAGAAATAAGGAACCAGGAGAAACCAGAAAGTTCACATGTGCTTTAAATGTTTGTCTGTGCAGCTTATATTAAAGGACTCAGATGGGAGCAAATTTTCTGTTGGAACAGGGACTTGTACCTGCACTGGACTCCGAGTTGTAACTGTGTGTCCTGTATCCTCTATTAGGCTCAGGGTGCCAATGGGTATGACTGATTTCTTTGGTTCACTAGAACCCTCCTTATGTGGTTTTATGGCACTTGCTAGTATCTCTCAGGCTGCTGGAAATGCCTGCTGTCTCTTATCCAACACTGTAATCAGAAGCAGGCAAACTTACTTGTCAGTAATTAATTTTATTGCTCAGCAACCAGGGAGTCAGCATACATCACATCCATCAGATAAGCAGGTCAGTTGCAGAAGCTAAAGTTCTGTCCTCTCTCTCCCTTATTTATACCTCCCTCCTTGCATTTTTTGCTGTGACTCAGCTTTTCTTAATTGTTCTAGCCTTTTCACGACACTTTATTCCTGCGCTGAAAGCGGGAGGAGAAGAAGCCGAATGGGGACTGTATTGCGAAGCAGGAGACCCAGCTCCTTCTCCATCTCTCTCAGTGTCTGTGGCCACCTCAAGCCTCTCCCTTCCCCCTCACTCTCTGATGATGATTCCTGCCTGTCCCACCACGCTGAACCTGGTTCAAAGTCCCCTTCCCCCTCAGGTGCCTCATGAACCACCGACTGCCACCACTCTTCCTCATCCAGCCAGTCCCTGACAGTGTGTCTCTCCAGGCATAAAAAAATCTGGAAAAAGAAACCATAGTTAAAGGGCTAAAGTAGTAATAGTTACACAGAGGAGGAATCTTGTTAATGCCTTCATGGGGGGGGGGGGAGAGATTATGTTGTTATTGATACAAACGTATCTAGAGGTCAGTCTCCTAAAAAATCAGAGGCAGAGAGCAATTTTGATGTTCTCAAACATCATCTCTTATACAGTGGTACCTTGGGTTACAAACACCTTGGGTTACAAACACTTCGGGTTATAGACTCTGCTAACCCAGAAGTAGTACCTCGGGTTGAGAACTTTGCCCCAGAAATCGCGCCGCAGCGGGAGGCCCCATTAGCAAAAGCGCGCCTCAGGTTAAGAACGGTTTCGGATTAAGAACGGATCTCCGGAACGAATTCAGTTCGTAATCAGAGGTACCACTGTACAGTACACTGCTAATCTATTCACGTGAGTACAAAATAACCAATCAAACAGTTACCACAATTGCAGCAATCTTCCCTATGACAGTTACACAATTGCAACACACTGTCATCATTCTTAAGTCACTTGGAGATACTTGGATTCTTCTGACTAGCCAACCCTAACCATCTCTTAATGTGTGGCTACATGTAGCCATCTTTCAGTGTCTGCTTTCATTGTCTTCTATTAGTGGTCTGCCAGCATCTGCTTTCAGTTACCTGTGTTAATATTTTTGTTCTCTTCTCGACCTAGGACTTAGTGTAACTTCTATGCTTGATTGATCTTCTAGCGTTTAGTACACCATCGTCATAGCGTAGCTGCTTACATTCCATTCCTTCAGTATTCTTTCACTGTTATCAGTTGACAAGCTATGCACAGCTTCTAACTTTTCTGTTAGGCCAGGGGGTGTCAACCTGGTCCCTAACACCCACTAGTGGGAGTTTCAGGATTCTAGGTGGGTGGTAGGAGTTCTACGGCAGCCTCCAAGGATTATGAAACACGTGTTTGTTGAGGAGCCTGTGCCACTATCTCAAGATGCAGAGGCATCCTTGATGTAGCTTCATTGTAATACTGTACACATTCACATCCCGATAGAGACAATACGGAGGCACTTACTCAGCTACCTGTGTTGCCATTATGATGTGGTGTGGCATGTGTGCTTGAATTAGCAGAACTCCTCAGTGTGCTAAAGTGTCTGGAGGCCGCGCACACACAAATCAATTCCAAAAAAATATCTACAAAAGCCGCCTTGCAACAAAGTAGGAATATGAGCACTTGGAAACTTCTAGCATGTAAGGGATATGAAGGTTGCCTTAAACATCCACTACTATTAAAAAGGCAACACGAACATATAGTATGTTGGTGTGCAACCTAAATAAAAAGCAACTGAAGATGATTTGCAATAAATGATTTCCACAAGAAGATATACTTCGATATTCTGAGCAAATGAAATGGAAATGGCAAGAATCATTTTGGCTCAGTCCTATTGCCCATCAGCACTGGACTGACTTTCTCTCTGTGCTGGCAGATCTGAGCCTCTCCACTGAGCACAGAACCACCTCCTAGGGGCTGTGGGGGCTTTCAGAACAAAATATTTTAGGCGGCTGGAACCCCACAAAGTTGATGGGCATTCCCATTCAAATTGTGTGTGTGCACTGCATCGTGTAAATTGATTATGCAGGGCGGGGCTTACCTGGGCCCCCACAATATTTTATTCAAGTTTGCACCCCTGCCACTAAGCAGCATTTTATGGGCATTGTACCATTAATGGTCTGATACTTTTCCTGTTCCATGTTCTGAGGCCTAAAAAAAAACCCAACAAGTGTGCAGGCGGACAAGTGAACTGACTAATTATACCAATTAGGATGCCCCTTGGTTTCTTTGGGTTACATGTGACTGAGGAGAACAGCAATCAATGTCATTTTGACTTAGTGTTTGGGAATATATAAGGAATCTGAAGGTGTTTTGAGAAGCTGTTGTAAAATGTACGTTAGGCATGCTGTCATGTCCAATTTTCCTTCACAAGTTCTAGTTTCTGTGCTGTTGAAAAATTGCTTAAAATTCTGTTATTGAATTCATTTATTTTTCAAACCCTAAGGAGAGCCAAGTGAGAAGCAATCAAACGGTTTCTCTTGCATGTCAAGGGCTGTGAAATGAACAGATTATGCAGAATTTCAAATCTTCACAATCATAGATATCTTTCAGATGTTGACGTTAATGCATAATCATTTTTACAAGATTAATATTTCCATGGTGACTTTGCCGTCTTCCCCCTGTGATCCTATTTATGAGATTTCTTACCTGCCCTTAACTGTAGGGTCCCAGGATGGGTTACACAAATGTAATATACAATCATAAAACCAGCTATAATAATAAAAAAGTAAAACTTTTACAGTCAGAACAGAACAGTATAAATTCAACAAAATAGGTATGTCCCACAAAATAAAATATTTTAACTGACAGAAACCAAGGTAAAGAGAGATGTTTTGGCATTTGGTGAAAGCTCAATGTACCACTGTGGGGAATGGGGTTGCCACAGAGAAAGCTTACAGTACTGAGGGTGGCAGAACTAGCATGAGACCCCCCTCAGTTTTAGCACCCAAGAGGGTCAGTAAGAATGGAGATTTATTTCAGATATTAAAATGCATTGAAACTTAGCATGGTTTGTGCATGTTTTGGTGCGCCTCACCTGGTGTCTTGTTCTTCGATCACATAGATCATGTTCTCTCTTGTCCTTCCCCTTGAAGGTCCCTATTGAGGGCAGAACTCACCATTATTTGTACATCCACTATTGTTTCTATAGGCTGTTGTAGTTTGAAAATGTCAAGGCTAAGGCTAAAACTGGAAGGATACCTGTGTATTTTTTTCTCTTGGAGGCAAAAGCAAGTGTTCATTTTCTGATGGGTTCTTCCTACAATATAAGGTCAATGTCTTCTGTTTCATAAATCTGGATGATGCAAAATGGTGTGAATTTATGTACAGCTTATTTCATTCATATTGTTACAAAAGTTGGGTAGCACCCCTCCCCCGCCAAGTGGTAGCAAGATTTCAGGGGGCTCCAGGCACTTGCCCAGGGGTTGTGCTCCTTTGGGGAATTAAAGATGCTGCTGGGACTTTGAAGGAACAGGATTCAGTCACACATTTACAGCTTCAGTCTGCATTCAGGGAGTCCAGATCTTATGGCATGGTCCTTTCGAGAGGGGCTTGTTTCCCCACAGCAGTGCAACCATGGAGTCCAAGGCATTTTTCCCAGCCAGCCTGCTTGGCATAGGCACTGAGTTGCACCCAACATGTGGGTGGGGGCAGTGCATGATGTCACATGTGTGACACACCTCCCCCTAGCTGGGCTGACTCAGCCTGCCATCCCCCACCAGCCACCTTTTTGTCCTGCCCCATCCCTGGTGATCCTCAAAAGGAGGCAGTAGGGCCAAGCATCTTCTTCCCGGTGCGTCCTTTCATCCCGGTGTGTGGTGGAATTTTGGTGAGCCCTGGCCCCCTTCTTGAAAATATGGGGGGGCCGGCTCCCATGCCCCCCATAGATGGCACCCCTAGCTCTGTCTTTGTTCTCTCCTTCTTCCCAGCACACCTTGCTAAAGACACCCTTTTCCTGTCATCTCTCACATACCCCACCACCTCAGCAACTTCTGCCTGCCCAGGCCCAAAATTCCCCTTAGATGGGACATCAAGAATAAGAAGAAGAAGAAGAGTTTGGATTTGATATCCAGCCTTTCAGATTGTATTTGAGCAGGGCCTTCAGAACTGGGCAGTTACTTTACCTAAAATTTTTGTTTATAACAGTTTTCAAATGTATAACATGTGAGCTGTATATCAGCTCTATTCTGAAATGTAAAAATACTGGTTAATTACCACCATGCATTTAAAGTTCTGTTTTCCACCATACCAGGTCCTCAGATTTTGGAACATTATATACCAAGTTGAATCTACAGCCTGGAATTGCTACAGTCATTGAAAATTTCTACATCTGCCCCACTAACAAAAAAAAGGTAAGGGGGTAAGGGGGTACTCTTTACTATACAACTCAATAGGTCAGCTCAGGAAATGGCTGTCTTTACCTTCTACTGCTGGATTATGCCATCCATGTTTAGCTCATAAAGGAGCAGCTGTAAAATAGGGATTAATGGAATACTGAAGAACTCTGTATCAATACCTAAATATCATGTTTGAAGGATGCTAGCAATAAATAGCTTTAGTATTAACCATAGTTTGGTTTATTTAATCTTACTCTTTGAGATATTCATGTATCTAGCAAGTGACATAAAGGGTGGGAAGAAAGAAGAATAACATGCATGAAAAGGTAAAAATAGATAACCTTGCCTGCAGGATCATAAGGAAAGCTGGAAATGTGTGCTGACATGAGCAGGAAGTAACTATAATTTATCTGGAAACATTGTATGGAACAATTGAAGAAATCTCATCTTTGTTGCCTGAAATGTTGTGACCTTTTGTGGATGCACACACAAACTTCCCATCTTTGCTCTTGGAACTCTGGAACAAGAGGCAATGCTAAATGTGAGTTTTAAATAACATAGCTGTGACTTCAAATGAACGTTATGAGAAGGTAACAGTTTTAAGAGCACTCAGGGTGCATTCAGACGTGGAGATAATTGCATTAGAGTTCCTGGTCACTTCTGTTCTGGTGTCTGATGTTCCTTTTACACTGCATTCCCAGTTGCATTATGCATGGAATTGTGGCTTTTTGAGTGAGACATTCATGCTACATTTAATTCACACCTGTGGGTCAGTTGGGACACAACAGCAGGCCTCATTAAACATGTTGCCTCCACTCCCCACCCTTTATGTAAATGTGTACTTCTGTTCCCCCATGATTCACCCATGAAAGCAGTGGGAAAGAACTGTATGCTGGGCATAGGAGCAAACTCCTAGGGGCTGAGGGGTTTTCAGGCCCCCACTAAAATATTTGAGAGGCCTGCCCCCCAAAAGTTGATGGGCAATGCCATTCAAATGGTGTCTGTGCACCATGTCATGTGATCAGTTATGCAGGGCAGGGCTTACTCTCCCCCCCCCCCAATATTTTATTCAAGTTGGCACCCCAGATGCCGGGATTCCGCTCCCAATTTTTTCACCCCACAATTTTTCAGGTCAACAGAAATGAGTGCTAACCTTCTACTAGATTCCACTATTATTTCCAGAAGTAGCTTTTACATTGTGTGGAAGATCACACAAAATGTGAAAATGATCAAGTAAGGAAATTTTGGGGAAATGAAATAAAACACTGTATGAATGCAGCTTCAGAACTGAATAATTCTAAGGAGTGTGGCATGTACAAGAGACGGGGCTTTAAAAAAGAGGAACAATTGTATTGTCATCCAGACTAAGCTGTTCTCCAGTTGTTGCTTCTAATATCCCAGGATTTGATGGATGCTCTGTAGGAAAGATCTTCAAGTGGGAGAGGTTGTGGCCATCAGAATTAAAGGGTTGCGAAACAGTATTTTAATTGTTTTGGTTAAGATGACTGATTTATGGTCTCTAAATCATATAGAAAGCTGTTTTTTCAGTGTCCTGGATGTGGTGTTCATGGTGTCTGTGTTCAGTAATGTATGTAACACTAGATTTTCAGGTGATGTTCTGCTTTATGAAATGGGCTTTATCAGTTTCCTGCTTTAAAGGTAACCATTTTCCTATGGGAGGTCCAAGTGATACAACAACTCAGTTTATCATGATGTGACCCAGAATTGTTGATTGGTGGTTTTATTTCAGCACTCAGCTGTAAATTTAATAGATTTTGAGGTTGGCAGAAAGCAATTATGGAGGCTTGCTGATTGCTTTTGCATGGTGTTGTGAACTGGCTGCTAATCGGGTTGGAGGAATATAGTAAATGCCCAGTGTATGTTGATGTTCAGGGTATATCCACAGTGTACAAGGTGGGCACCTGTGGTCTATATTTTCCAGTGCATGTGGAATGGAGTGGACCTCAGTTTTCTGGTTCACACATTGAATTCCCCTAGGAAGACCCCTGGATTTATTCCAGCCTGTGACATTTTGTATTTCCATTCTTTTGATACTAATGAGCTGTAAAAACACCAAGTTCTCTCAGTTTAGTTAGCTTTGAAGCTGACAAAACCTCTGAAATCTTCACTTCTTGCTCTGAGCTTTTTAAAAAGTCTAGTTCCCATTTCCTCTTTTCAGCACACTGGTTGCTTTGTTAGGAGTGGAGTTGGGCATTTGTAAGATTGAAGGACTTCCTGGCTTTCTGTGTGTCACCCTTGTTTTAGTGCCCAAGACAGACAAGAATTGGTCTTGTTAGGATGGGGCCATCAGGCATGCTGGAAGGACTGGGATAAATTACAGGCTGCTGTTAAATGAGGTGACCCGAGCTGGAAGCATATTGATAATGCCTGGTAATTTGGCTTATTTGTCAATCAGTTGCTTCAAAATGATGTTTGAAGGCCTGATCTCTGTTTTTCTGGAGCCAAAGATGTATAAAGCTGGAGTCTGGAATGTAATGAATACTGCTTAGTTCACATGACAGATGTCATTAATTATGGGTTGCCTTGGGACAAAAGAATTGTGTGTGCCTTTGTGGTTTGTTCATTGGTTGTAATGCTGTGTTACAGAAATATAATGAAAGCAATTATCATAATAGTCAAGACATGAGATGATAAGGATTTGATTATTCAAAGACTTGTCCAGTCATCAGTTGACATATTCGAGGGACATCACTGCAATTGTTGTGGGCCCCAATGGTGTCCCACGGGTGTTTTCTGTCACAAGTGTGGAAGCAAAATATGTGCTTATATGCATCTTTTTTAAAAAAAACAACAACCATGTCTGATAAAAATGGGACAATTGAGCTTTCCCGGAGAGTGTAAAGACACATGGTTTTACACAAGTTGCACACCCATTGTGTACTGCTGCCCTTTGACAAATTACAATGATACAGGTCTTGTTGACTGAGCTGGTTTGAAGATAAAAGAAAGGCACATGACTTTGAGCAGGAGAAGGATGGGCCACCAAATCAATACCAGTAAGAGAGGGGATGGGAATGAAAGAGAGTCTGGGAGAAACAGCCAATGAATTCTATTGATCTTGAAGGGAGCACTGGAATATCCAGAAAGAAATGGCAGAGAAAGACAGAGATACAAGGAAGACAGAGCTATTGATCAGTGCAGAGTCAATCCAGATCAAATGAAGCTATATGATCACAGAGAGAGGGAGAGAAATGTACTCAAAAGATGCCTTAATGAAAGAACCTTGAGGAGATAAAGTGGGGAATATTCTTATGGGGAATCTTGAAACAATGCACAAAAAGTATGATATCTAAGCACCAAGGACCAAGCCACATATGATGCGGGAGCTCTGTCACTGAGACTGTAATGCTCTGTATGTTTACCTGGGAGTAAGTCCTGTTGAAATCATTGGGATTTATTTATAAACATGATATGATCGATACTTGAATCTCCCAGGTACAATACAAAGAAGTCATGGGGTTTGGGGTGGCAGTGCTGGAGAAAGGAGTGTTCAACTCTTCCTCTGTGTCTTTTTCCTGATCAGTATTTCTTCCCACCTGCACAAACTGCTAATAGCCTAGCTAGAAAAAGACAGACACCAAACATGCCCCCCCAACCCAGCCATTTTGGAGTGATTTTGAGTTGAGGAAATTGCACAAGGGCAATGCTGCTAGGTGCCCCTTCACCCAGCACTGCTGCCCAAGTCCACTCAGATTCCCCACATCCATAAGTGCTTTAAAGCTCTCACATCATCTGTGTGGTTCAGCCCTGCAAAAAAGAAAAGCAAGAGAAGTAAGATTAGCGTGAGCAACTGTGTGACATGCAGAGAAGAAATAGAGGAACATAAGAACAAAGATGACACCTTGACCTTTAGCTACCAGCAGACCATTTGACATGTTTTATAAGGGAGGCCTTAGCAGAATAGTTTGAAAAGAAACCAGATTGCAGGGATTCAATAAGAAAAACAGGGAGTGGAGGGAGATTGAGACTGTAGGAATAGACTATAAGTAATAATAATTTATATGGAAAATATAGCAAAGCAATAGCTTGGGGAAAAGTATAAAGATAAAAGGTATTTGCCAAGAGGAAGGCTGTAGCTGGCTTGAAAGGTATTCATCATGAGTATCATAGTGGGGAGCGTGGGAAAATGACAAAGAGCCAGAGTTTCGGGCAACATGAGCACCAGAATCAGCTTGGGAGAGCCAAGTTTGACCATGAGCCAATATGTGGAGATGTTCCAACAAGAAGAGTTGCCGACAATTACAAATTTGTTAAACACTGAGCAGCAATTAAGAAGGCCACAGAAAAAGAGAAGCAAAGAAATAGGAACTTGTCAGTTTAAGACCGATCAGATATGAAGAAAGGAAACAGTGACTGCCAAGGGATAAAGAATGAGAGAAGAGAAAATCAGGACAGTGCATGCAGCAAGGTAGGAAGGCGAAAACAAATGCACAGAGGCATACAAAGCTGAGCTAGTTCAAGGGCTGGTGAAGGCCAAAGGCATCTGCAGGGTGGTCTGGTCCCATGCTGCTCTTGGAAGAACATGTGAGCAGGTGGATGGTGAGCTTACTTGCTATACCATTGTTGCTTATCAGGGCCAGTAGTACTAATGTAGAAGGTAGCCACTCCATCCTGCCCACAAAGATGGTAGCCTGTTACTGGAGCTGCATAGATTGGAAGGTGCAGCAACCACGCTCACACTGCCAATATATCTTTTGAATTAGCCTTAGAAACAGCAGTTGACTGTTGCACATATGGGTTGCACAAACAAGACTGGAGAGTGCAGATAAATTGTGTGTCATATTGTAACGTCCAGATATCCCCAAGACCTCACACTTTTCATTTTTTTGGAAACTGACAAATATTTCCTTAAATGGACCCACAAGAAGGACCCATGCTAAGCATGCTGCAAAATCAGTGCCATCTTTTTATGCATTTAACCAGTAGTGGCCAGTGGGGGGGGGAGGGTATGCCCCTGATACTGGCATCACTGCAGCTTCCATGGCAGAGCCAGCCTGGTGCTCCTGACCTCAACACCACTCTGATGCCAACCTGCAGCAGCATCAAGTGTTGGGAAGGAGGTCCCGCAGCTCAGCCATGCCACACTGGCTGCTACCACATTTCAATAAAAAAGTTTGGTGGCCGTTTCCCGGCGTGTGGCTGCTGTCACATGCTGACAGCTTCTAGAAGCCACAGGTGAGAGCTGAGTGCAGGAGCGGGGGAGCAAAGGTGGACAAACTACGCCAGAAGGAGCATGACGTGTCCCCCACCAGAGGTACTACCCCTCCTCTAAGACCCCAGACACCCCAAAAGATTGCAAAGATTGTTGCTTCTGGTGACTCATGTGACGGAAACCAAGCCCCTCCCCCATGGTGATATATGAATGCCATCATATGTGCTGCCTCCCCTCACACAGTCGCCGGTGCATAGGCATAAATGCAATGATATGTCTCCTCAATGCACTACATCACATACACACCCCCAAAACCCAAACAGATTCCCAAAAACCTAAGCAGATTTCTCTAATAAAGGCTCACACCTGTGAGGTCTTAAAAAAGTGTCAAGTTGTCAAAACTTGTGCTGTCAAAGT